TAGGCAATAAAAACAAAATAGGAGGTATCAATTTACCAGACTTCAAACTATACTACAAAGGCTATAGTCATTAAAACAGCTTAGGAACGGCACAAGAACTGGGACATTGACCAGTGGAACAGAACAGAGAACCCAGATATAAAACCATCCTCATATAGCCAACTAATCTTCGACAAAGCAGACAAAACATACACTGGGGAAAAGAATCCTTATTCAATAAATGGGCGAAAAACCTGGATAGCACCATATAGAAGACTGAACACAAAACAAGAACCCACACCCTTTCACCTCTGACAAAAATCAACTTACACCTTAGGTGTGAAGCTACTAGAATTCTAGAGGAAAATGTTGGAAATACCCTTCTAGACACTTAGCCTAGCAACAATAATTTATGAAGAACGACCCCCAAAAGGCAATCACAACAGCAACAAAAATAAACAAATGGGACCTGATCAAATTAAGAAACTTCTGCACAGCCAAAGAAACTGTCCAAGAGAGCAAACAGACAACCCACAGAATGGAGAAAATTTTGCAAGCTAACACATCTGATAAAGGGCTGATAACCTAGAATCTATTTTAGAACCAGGAAACAGCAAGAAAAAATCAAACCAACTGTATCAAAAAATGGGCATGAACAGAAAAGTCTCAAAATAAGAAAGAATAATGGCCAAAAAATATATGAAAAAATGTTCAACATCTCTAATCATCAGGGAAATGCAAATCAAAAAACTACAGTGAGCCGGCGAGGTGGCTCACGCCTGTAATCCTAGCACTCTGGGAGGCGAGGCGGGTGGATCACTCCAAGGTTAGGTTCGAAACCCAGCTTGAGCATGAGTGAGACCCCGTCTTCTACTAAAAATAGAAAGAAATTAATTGGACAACTAAAATATATAGAAAAAATTAGCCGGGCATAGTGGTGCATGCCTGTAGTCCCAACTACTTGGGAGGCTGAGGCAGGAGGATCGCTTGAGCCCAGGAGATTGAGGTTGCTGTGAGCTAGGCTGACGCCATGGCACTCACTCTAGCCTGGACAGCAAAGTGAGACTCTGTCTCAAAAAAAAAAAAAAAACTACAATGAGATATCACTTTACTCCAGTGAGAATGGCCTTTATCAAAAAGTCCCCAAACAAAAATGTGTGGCGTGGATCGGGAGAGAGGCGCAGGAACACTCCTACACCTTCAGTGGGACTGCAAATATCAACCTCTGTGGAACAGCCCAACCTATGGAGCCAGTATCTCAAAGGATACAAGTAGACTACCATTTGATCCAGCCAATTTACCTATTGGCCATCTACCCCAAAAGATCAAAATCCACTTTATGCAAAAAGACACGCAGTCCGAATGTTAAGACAGCACAATTCACAATTGCCAAGCTGTGGAAACAACCCAAGTGCCCATCCAATACATGAAGTGGATTAATAAAATGTGCATAGTATACCATGGAATACACTCCAGCCTTTAAGAAACAATGGTAATAGTAGCACCTCCTTGTATATTCCTGGATAGAGCTGGAAACGCCAAATTCTACTAAGTGAAGGATACTCAATAATGGAAAAACAAGCACCACACATGTACTCACAGTAAATAGGTATTAATGGATCAACACCTTAAGTGGTAACATATAGGAAAACACTCATTGGGTGTCGGGAGGTGGCCGGAGGAGCAAGATGAAACACAACCAGCGAAAGTTAACAGTTGGGGGATGGACATGCTTGAAATGCTTACTCGAGGGGGCAGGGGGGCATGGGAAATATATGTAACCTTAACACATGTACCCCCAGAATACGCTAAAATAAAAAAAAAATCAATAAAAAAATCAAGGTCATAATGGCCAGACAGAAAACAGCAACTTTTATTGACTGCCTACCGATAAAAAAATAATAATAATGTTGTTATAAATTTTAGTAAGTTCTCTAAAGAAAAGGAAAGACCAATGACAGAATGACAGACAATAAGTTATTAGAAGAGACATACATAGGTAGGTGCAAAAAATAAAACTAAATCACTAAATGGTTTTGGCAACCTAAATAAAAACAGAGAGAGGCTCTCTAGAAGACAATATTTATTTGGGAATAGGGCATTGCAATGGGTATACGTATGCATGGTAAACTATGTGCATATTCAGGGAGGTAGAGGAAGACACAGGTTTTTAAAGGAAAAATGAAGAGGATTACAGAATTGTTTTGAGATAATTATCCTTGGCTACAAGGATTGATAACAAGGGTGGTGACAGTCCAGATTGCATAGTCAGTTGCCGGGCAGATGCCCTTACAGAAGTATTTTTTTGTGTAAGGTTGCAATGGCCTTTGTAGAAGGTTGTGGTTTTTGCTGTCTTTTGTGACAATTTTGTTATCAGTCATTTATGCATGAGAACCCTCCCTTCATGGCCTTTCCCAGCTCCACTTATCAGGGTTTTTCTTTTTTAAACACAAGTGACTCCATTTTTTTTTTTTTTTTTTTGAGACAGAGTCTCACTCTGTTGCCCAGGCTAGAGTGAGTGCCGTGGCATCAGCCTAGCTCACAGCAATCTCAAACTCCTAGGCTCAAGCAATCCTACTGCCGCAGCCTCCCACCATGCCCGGCTAATTTTTTCTATATATGTTAGTTGGCCAATTAATTTCTTTCTATTTATAGTAGAGACGGGGTCTCCCTCTTGCTCAGGCTGGTTTGGAACTCCTGACCTCGAGCAATCCACCCGCCTCGGCCTCCCAGAGTGCTAGGATTGTAGGCGTGAGCCACCGTGCCCAGCCCAAGTGACTCCATTTTTATTCTGACAACTTTCAGTTTTCTGAGTGAAGCCACTAAAAACAAAAAAAGATAACCACATGAAAGTGATTTTCAGAGACTCTCTTTCCTTAATTAGTAAATCATCATAAACATTAGAATTATTATTGATTTGAATTGTTAGTATATTTGGGGAAGAGGAATGAAAGGAAACTGTATAAAATTGGGAAGTGAGACAAGAAAGTGAAGGCAGCTTATAAAGGGTACATTATGAAGCCAGCCATGACTGTAGGTGACTAATCAACTGGGTGCCAGTGTAAAACACATGTTAATGTACCAGCTCTGGATACTGTTAGTCATCGGTTGAGGGCTGCTCTCTTGGGGGTATACTGTCACTATAGATTTGATAAATCTAGCTTCTGTGCCCAGAGTCATTTTCTATTGATTGCATTGTTTATTTATTTGAGTATCAGTGACATTTTTAGGTCTCTTTGCATGTATTGTAATGTTTGGTTGACAAACTAGACATTTTCATAATAATATATTGTAGAAACTCTGAATTTTGTTTTATAATCTGACTCCTCTGTTGTATGCCATCACTGACTTTTATTATTATATATATTTATTATTACATTTATATAGCTTTCTAGGTGCTGCCTTTGTTGTCTGTATCTGAGTAGTCAGTCAGTGATAGGAGCAGAGATTATGCTAATTACCTCAAGCTCCTAAATCTTTCATCCTCTGCTGACAGATCTGTGTGTGGTTTGCATCCAAGTCTCCCTTGGATTTTGCTTTTTCCCTGGACTTTTTGTGTCTCCCCAACACACATGTGTTAAACATTTGGAGAACTTATCTCAATTCTTCTAAGACTGTCATTTCCAGGATCTTTCTGGTAAATTTCTGCTTGTCCACCACTTACCACAACCAGGGCCTCAATCTCAGGTTATTGAAACTCCTGGTTTCCCCCCATTAATGTCCTGTTGGCTCTAGCAATTTCTTAAGAATAAATGCATCTCAATATTTTTGATACTCTCTTGGTTAATTCCCAGAACTGTGAAATCATTATTTTGGATACTTTTGTCTAATTTTATATATTTTTTTTCCCTGAGAGTGTTCACTGACTTCTTTATGCTATCATAGTTGCAAATCCCTCCCAATGGTACTTTTTAACATTTTTTATAACTGTTACTAGTTTATAGAAATACTTTTTTGGGGTATATTGGTCTCTAAGTACATTATAAATTATAATTTGGCATCTAGAATATTTGGGATTTTTTTTACACACATAATTCGTGACTAATGGCAGTTTTAAAAAATATCTTTTGTTTCTTTTTATTATTTCATTGCACTGGTTAGCACCTCCAGGATAACATTGAATTGAAATGCTGATAGTAGATATTTTTGCCTTATTTCTAATCTCAGGGTGAAGCTTCCAATATTTTCCCATTAAAGTGTCATGTTTGCTGTAATATTTTGTAAATATATTTTTAATCAGATTGAGGAAATTATCTCTGTAGTTTTTCTAAATTTTGAATAAGCATGAATAAGTGTTGAATTTTATCACATACTTTTTGTGAATTTATTGATATTATCATGCTGTTTTTCAAATGTGAAATATTGTATTCCTGGAATAAATTCAACGTGTTGAAAATGAAATATTTTTGATATAACTTTTGGTTAAATTTGGTCATATTTTGTTTAGAATTTTTGAATTGATATTCATGAAAAGATCATAATTCACCCTCTCCTTGTGATATCCTTGTCATGTTTTTGGTAATAAGATTACGCTGGCTTCATAAAACCAGTTGGAAAGTATTTCTATTTTTTTCTATTCTCTGGAGGAATTTGGCATATTAGTATCATTTCTTCCTTAAATATTTGAAAGAATTCATTGGTAAAGGTATATAGGCCTTAAGAGTTCATTGTGGGGAAGTTTAAAGTTATAGCTTCAATTTATTTAAATATACAGTATAGCACTATCCAAATTTTCTATTTCATTTTGTTTCAATTTTGATATTTTGCATTTTGTAAGAATTATTCATTTCATCCACATTTTCAAATTCATTTCAAAAAGTATTTGGGTGGTGAGGGATTCCGTAAAGCATAATTAAATCATGAAATCATTTACATTCCCACATATGTACAATCCCACCCACCCCTCCCCAGCCCCTTCCCATGGGCTGTGTGAGTGAGGGATTTTGGAACAGTGTCAGCTTACAGAGGCCCTGTAATAATCACAGAATCTTGATTGACTTGGTCTCTTCATTTACATGAAGAAAACTGAAGATCAGACTATGGAAAGATGAGAAAAAGCTTTTGCTGCTGCCCAAGACCAACAAGACTATTCTGACACCCAATCCCCATCATCCTTGCCTCCGTTCTCTGATAACATGGGAAATTATGAACCCCAGCACCTGGGACCCTGAGGAATTTACCAGGAGTAAATGGCTTTCATGAAAAAAAAAAAGCATAAGGTTTTTCATATTATCTTCTTAGGATGTTAATGTTTGTAAGATTTGTGTTGCTCTTTTTCATGCTTGATACTAATAGCTTGTGCTTATCTCTTAATCATTCTTGCTAGGAGTTTATATACTTTGTTAGCTTATAGCTTTGCTGATTTTTTTCTATTGCATTCTTATTTTGTATTTTGCTAATTTTTGTTTTTATCTTCACTATTTTCTTTCTTGTACTTGATTTTGGTTTCACATGCTTTTGTTTTTCTAGCTTTTTGAGATAGGCACTTAGATTATTGATCTTCTGTCTCTCTTCTACCTCTTTCAAGCTATGTTTCCTTCTAAGTTCTGCTTTAGTTTTATTCCATGAATTGGAGAATCACTGCCTTAGACTGACCTCCAAGGTTACATCTTAGACCAGTGATTCTCAGCTAGGGGTGATTTTGTCCCTCTTCCCCATCAGAAACATTTCGCAAGGTCTGGAGATGTTTTTGATTGTCAAATTGGGAGAAGGGAGCTACTGGCACCCAGTGAGTAGAGGCTAGCGGTTCTACTATTAATTCTACAACGCACGGCTCTTCACAACAAAGAATTATCTGGCCCCAAATATCAATAGTGCTGAGGTTGAGAAACCTTGCGGGCCTAGACCTGCTTATTACCAGCAAATGCACCCGCCCAGCCCTGTCATAATGCCCTCCACATGGCTTCCCTGTCACATCTCTCAGGTTTCTGAGATGCTGTCCTGGACAGCCCAGCACATGGAGCTCTACGTGATGCTTTATAATCTCTACTCTGTTATATTTTTCTTCATAGCACATCATATATGTTACCATATGATGTTAGCATTATGTGTAATATATATAATGTTTGTTTCTTTTTGCTTGTCTCCCCCCACTAAACTAGAAGCTCTGTGAGGGCTGGGCTTTCTCTATTTTGTTCACTATCCTTTCCCAATATTTAGAGCAATGTTGCATGGTTGAATGAGCTAATACTTACTGCAGGATCGGATGCACTGCTGCGTGGGAATGAGTGCCGCATTCCCAGTGCGAGGCACTGAAAATACACTGGCAAATAAGGCAGATTTGGTGTAAGGGTAAATACAAACAGAAAAGAACATTTTTCACTCCCCGCTTTCCTTAGAGCATTTACTTTAAAAACCTTGTAATTTTGAGTTCTCTCTCTGCCCATTTGAGATATCTGTAAACCCTTTCATATGCTAATCCTCTTGTCAGTTTTACAACCCAGGAATCTTTTCCTTGCAGACTTGGGAGCTATCCTTTTGAAATGCAGCCGCCCAGGGAGAGATTGCTCCCAACTCCCAGACTCTGTGGGAAGGAAGTAGCCTGACTTTGGTCATGTGCCTGACCCCAAGTTGCTAACCTACCTCCTATCAGAAGTATATGAAAAATTTAGTTTTCCTTGGATAAAGTCAGTTAGCAAACATGGTGGCTACACCAATTATCAGGTGAATTTAAGAGGAACTACGCATGACAAACGTTGCTGTCAAGTCCTCTTGCTTGGGCACTAGCTATCCTTTATCCCGAGGGTGTGTGTGGAAGGGGTCACATCTGCTTGGCTGTATAAGAGGATGAAATTTCTTTCTGTCTTTGCAATTTCTTTAGCGGATTATGCATATCACACTGTTTTAATGCTTATTCAATAATAAAACCTCTTGCTTTCTCTTCTTTTGTGGAGCAGTTTCTCTGTGCTGGCAGGTGATTTTGTTTTTAATTACATTTCCCCAGTGGAAGGTGCTGCCATGCCAGGTAAGTGGGTTAATAATTTAAAAGATGCTCCACTGCATCTTTTCTTTTTAATACTAACACCTTCCTCCTCCTCACCTTTTCCTTCTCTCTCCCTTGGGGCTGTTTTAGGAGCATCAGCACTGCTGAACCTTAGGGAGATTGTAAATTCCAGGAATGTGTTCCCGCTACATGTAAGGTGTTATGCAACCTCAGCTTCAAGGTAGGGAAAAAGTAACAACTAATACACGATGGACTCTCTTTTGGGTCCTTTAGTGGATTTGCTTTAGATAGCCCTGTTGCGGGAGTACAGAAATCAGAGGGATTTTTTATTTCTTTCAGTTGTGTGATCCTCGCTGGCTGGTACTGTGGTCTAACATTCCACAGTGGGGTGTGCAGGTGTTTTCTCTACAACCTGCTCCTTTCTGAAGACGTGTGTCTCTTTTCTGGATGGAATACATAACCCCAATGATGCTTAAGCAGCTGTTTCACTGAAGAGCTCGTGTGAGTGCCCCGAAGCCATGCAGGGCTGGGGGTGGGGGTGAGAGAATCATCAGGTGAGACTTGGAGCTAACTCACTTCTAGGGCATCGGGAGGGGGAATCAGGCCTTATCTCGGGTCCCTCCAGTCCTACCCACATCCTGTGTTCAAAGTCCTCCCTCCCCAGAGCCCGTGTCCTCACCCTCAGGCTCACACTTGCCCTTCCTCTGGGGTAATGAAGTAGCAGGCTCAGACCCTCCCTGGTACTTACAGCCCTGCGGCTCAGGTGCCCACTGGATAGCGCTGCGGCTTCTCTGCCCAGCTGTCCACTGGCTCCCCTTGTCGGGAGGGTCAGCTTTGACCTCAGGTTGGTCTCTCTCCTGTGGCGACAAAGACTCTCTGTTTAACCACATTTTAGTCATGCTTCTCTGAGTTTTCTTTTTGACTACACCTCGCCTTTAGGCTTTGTCCTTGGCCTCTTTAGTCCGTCCTTAGCGAAAATCCTGCTGGGTTAATTTAGGGAACCAGATTCCTCATTCGCTACCGTCCGGTCACCCTGGCTGGCCTTCAGCAAGAACCTTACCAAGTCACGCTAGCCAGGGCCTCCTTATCCTTGATTTTTCTTCTGCATTATTTTCCATCTACTGACCCTCACCCTGCTTCTGGGCTGTAAATCCCTACTCATCCTTGTTATCTTTAGAATTGAGCCCAGGCATTTACCTTCCTGCTTTACCTGCTGTCTGGCTCTGGTTTCCTTTCACAGTAGTAATGCTGAAGTCAGGTTTTCTCCTAAAATACTTGATGTCAAACACACTTTTCCACTGGAATAATTTTTTTTTTCCAGAGAACTTCTCTGTGTGAGGTGTATGTATTCCTTTTAGTCTTTAACCCTATTCTTTGTGAAACAAGAAAAAAACAAAAACCCTGGTTTGGTTTGTTATAGGCACATTTGCATCTATTCTTTCATTACAAATGGCCCTCACATTGACTGAGACCAACTCTGCCCAGCTTTTAGATCAAATGGCTCTACATTCAAATAGATTCTCTCCTCTGACCCCCAAATTTCTCCTGTCACAGATGTGGTTGAAATTTCAGTGCCACCATGTAAATAGTATCAAAAATAGACTTTCAGCTATAAGGGAAGAACTGTACCAATGACAGAGATTGCAGAACCTCTTTGAAGATATATAGTTATTCTCTATCTGGCTTTGCCAATGATTCAATGGGAACACCTCAGTGATTGTAATGAGTCCTGTATAAGTGAACATTGGGAGCATGTACAAAACTTACAAAATTAATTTTGTTTTTGTAAGTAGGCTGAATATAAAAAGTTGTTTGATACCCTCTCTCTTCCCTCCTGTCCTCTTATAATACATTTCATCTCCAGATGTTGAAATTTGAGATGTTTTCCTTAGGTAATTAAAACATCAGTGCAGACTGCAATACGGAAGGTACTAAATGTATGAATGATTGATACTGCATACGTGTCTGCAAGTGAGAATGATGCAAAATATGAGTCCCTGGGACCCATGATGCAACCCTGCTGCTTACTTAACTTTGAACTAAGAGAGAAGGAAACCAAATAATATTGCTAAATCTCCTAGTATTCCAAGGGATCATTATAGGTGTTTTCCCTTATATTATCCTATTACATTTTGTTAACATTATAAAGTATGTTTTTTTATCAGTGTTTGCAAGTGAGAAGAGTCAAGCTTGGAGAATTTAAATAGTTTTCTTAGGGGCCTAGATATTTAGATGCAGAGCTGGAATCTAGGATTATTTGACTTAGAAGGACTTGTACTTTTCCCCATGCCATACCGCCAACTTTAGGAGGTGGAAATCCTGTGGGTACTATTGTACTACTGCATGATGGTGCTCTACAATGTTACTCCAGCACAACAGTGCTATGGCCTTGCTTGGTATGGTCTCATGCCAACATCTTATAATTCTTTGAGGCCAGAGATCATCATGATTTAGCTATTAGGTTATCAAGTATGAAATGTCCGATTTCCTTAAGTTCTAAGTTTGACAGTTGATATTTCTGATATTTCACTTTGACACTTCTTGTTTTATTTTTACTGTGAAGGAACATCCTCAGTCTTTCAAATGTACATTTGGGCTTGTGATTATCTTTCAAAAATTTTTTAGAGCAATTTTTGTGAAACCATGGAGAAGCCAAAAATTCATGTTATTTTCAAATATGAGTTCTGTTGTGGGACCAATGCAGTATAGACACCTCAAAATATCAATGGGGTGTTTGGGAAGGATGTTGCTAATGAATGTATAATATGTTGATGGTTTGAAAAGTTCCATTCTGATGATTTTAATCTTGGAAAATGAGCCACATGGATGACCTGAAACCAAGGTGGATAATGATGAGCTGAAAGCTGTGGTGGAAGTGAATCCATCTCGACCTACGTGTGAATTAGCAACAAGGTTTGACATTATGATTCCACTTGAATCATTGGACCACTTGAAACAAATAGACAAGGTAAAGAAGGTGGGTAGATGGCTCTGCATGAATTAAACAAGCGTCAGAAGAGAAATCATCTCGAAGCTTGTCTTTCTTTGCTGCTACAACATAAAGGTGAAACATTTCTACACCGTGTTAGTATGTGTGATGATAAATGGATTCTCTTTGAAAACACAAGCATTTGGTACAATGGTTGGATAAACATGAAGTGCTGAACCATGGTCCAGAACTGAATATTCATCAAAAAAAGTTAATGGTGTCTGTTTGGTGCTCCAGTGCTGGTATTATCGCTACAGCTTCATGAAGCCTGGTCAATTGATTACAGCAGATGTCTGCTCAACCAATTGGACAAAATGATGAGGATACTTGAAATTAAGCAGCCAAGATTTGTCAATAGAGACAGGACAATCCTCTTGCAAGAGAACGCTGAACAACATGTCACACGAACAATGCTGCTCAAACTACAGAAGCTGAACTTGGAAACTCTCTGTCATCCACTGTATTTACCAGACCTTGCACTAACTGACTACCACTTCTTCCAGGTTTTGGACCACTTGTTGCAAGGAAAAATATTCAATTCTCAAGAAGCTGTGGAGAACAACTTTTGTGATTCCATTGCCACTCGTTCTCCAGGCTTCTTTGCTGCTGGCATAAACAAGCTACTGTTAAGATGGCAAAACTGTGTTGACAGTTTGGGCTCATACTTTGAGTAATTGCACTGCTTCTTGTTTGAGATATAATAAACCACACTTTTGATTCAAAATTGGACATTTTATATTTAATGACCGAAGTTTTCCTTCATCTTCTATGCTTTGAAACAATATTTACAATATTGGGACTATGTGGTCTCTGAAAGTTTGGTAAAATTTCCCTGTGAAACCATCTGGGCTTGGTGCTTTTTTTGTTGTGTAGTTTATTGATAAGTATCTTTATTTCTTCTATGACATTTTCCTTCTCTACTGGCATTAATTTGGGTAAACTGTATTTCCTTAGAAAATAATCAGTTTCATCTAGGTTTTCAAATATATCTGTATACATGTATACAAAGTAACTGCTTTCATTTCTAAATTTCCATATCAATCGTTATTTATCCCTTAATGTTTTGCATATGTGTGGTTTCAATGTTTCTTTCCTTGAATAAGTTAGCTAGTGATCTACTTTGTTAACTTTTTTCAAAGAAAGAAGATTTTGGCTTATTAATTAGATCTGCTACTTTTAAAAATGTTATTATATTCTGGTTTTACCTTTATTATTTTCTTCCTTGTGCTACTTTTGGCTTGCTGCATTCTTCATCTAGCTATTTGAGGTGAGAATTTAATTAACTTATTTTCATTCCTTTATATTGACTATTATAAGTGTGTTTTTAACTAATTTATCTTGCTATTTTATTTTATTTTTTATTTCAGAATATTATGGGAGTACAAATGTTTTGGTTACATGAATTGCTTTTGTATAGTTTGAGTCAATGATATAAGGGTGTCCATCACCCATATAGTGTGCATTATACTCATTAGGTGTGAATTTACCCATCCCCTCCCCCGCCACCTGGTTGATTTCTGTTCAATTTTACTGCTATACATGCACATGAATCTTGGTCTATATTAGTAGGGAGTACATATGGTTTTCGTTTTTCCATTCTTGTGATACTTCACTTAAAAGGATGGTCTCCAGTTCCATCTAGGTTGTTACAAAAGGTATTACTTCACCATTTTTTATGGCTGAGTAACATATACTGCATTTTGTTTATCCACTCATGTATTGATGGGCACTTGGATTGTTTCCACATATTTGTGATTGTGAATTGTGCTGCTATAAACATTCAAGTGCAAGTGTCTTTTTTATAAAACATCTTTTTTTTTCCTTTGGGTAAATATCTAGTGGTGGGATTGTTGGACCAACTGATAGGTTTACTTTTAGTTCTTTGAGGTATCTCCATACTACTTCCTGTAGAGGTTGCATTAGTTTGCAGTCCCAACAGTGTATAAGTGTTCCTGTCTCTCTGCATTTGCACCAGCATCTGTTATTTTGGGACTTTTTGGTAAAAGCCATTCTCACTGGAGTTAGATGATATCTCATGTGGTTTTGATTTGCATTTCCCCGATGATTAGAAAAATGTTGAACATTTTTTCATATGCTTATTGGCCGTTAGTCTATCTTCTTTTGAAAAGTTTCTGTTCATGTCTTTTGCCCACTTTTTAATTGGATTATTTAGCTTTTTTCTTGCTGATTTGCTAAAGTTCGTTATAGATTCTGGTGATTAGCCCTTTATTGGATATATAGCATGCAAATATTTGCTCTGATTTCCTCCCATTCTGTAGGTTGTCTATTTGTTCTATTGATTGTATCCTTGGCTATGCAGAGGCTTTTTAATTTGATCAGATCCAATTTTTATTTTTGTTGTTGCTGTGATTGCCTTTGGGGTCTTCTTCATAAGTTCTTTGCCTAGGCCAATATCTAGAAGAGTTTTTCTGACCTCTTCTTCTGGAATTTTTATAGTTTCTTCCTTAGGTTTAAGTCTGTTACCCATCATGAATTAATTTCTGTGAGTGGTGAGGGCGCGGATCCTGTTTCAGTCGTCTACATGTGGCTATCCAATTTTTCCAG